GACCACCCCCCCCCCCCACCCAACCCACCAAAAAAAAAAATCAAAATTATAGAAAAATGGAGAAAAAAATAATATTATAATTAAAATTTAGGTCTGAGAGTGCCATTTCCGGCCATCTAGAGGTGCCAAAATAACCATTTTCTTACCTCAGCCCCAAACATGGTGGCGCTGAGGTGGTCTACACCCTCTGTCTGTGAAAGTGCCTTCCTGTGCCTCCTCTATTTCGAATTCCTGGATCCGCCACTTGGAAATCACATATATTATTGTATATTGTGTCATAGAACTTGGACAGAGGATTGGACGACTCGACATCAACAGCGCAGACTGAGATATACATAATAGACGAGCCCCGCATCATGTTGCCCAAGACGGTTATTTACTTTTAGTTTTAAATGTTTGCAAACCAGTCTCAGTTATATTGCAATGAGGGCTACAAAGGAAATAATCAAACCAACACAGCTAATACGAAAATACAACATTTTCGTTTTATGTTTGCATACCGAGTACCTAATCATTAGTGAGATCGGTGAACCATGAATAATAACAGGTACATTTCCCGAATAGCTACAATATTACAGAGACGAATAGTCCTACAAAAAAGTATGATTGAAATTTGAAATGAAAAGTACACAATATTGATGAGACAAATGAAAATTTGTTTTTATCAGCTGTTACTTTCAAGTAAAATTCCCCACTCAGAGGCGAATCTTCGGGAGGTGGGTGGTGACAAAAGGGGAGCAATACTCCAAACTACGCTGATTTTTGATAAATTCCATGTACCAGAGTCGATGACCACCCCCCCCCCCTCTGGATTCGGCCCTGCTACTGTTGCTAAACCTTGAAAACTAGGCCCCTATAGTTGTTTTCCTACTAATGTGATGAAAGTCTTGTGCTACCAAAATCAGTGGTAATCATAAAGCCGCCTAAGTTGAATATCAATTAAGATATTAAAACATGAGTAGGCCTACACCTTCCATGTTTTAAATATATTTTTTTTGTTGTATGTTATGTATATGTTTAAAAAAATTGTAGCGCCAAAAAATAAATGTAAATAGACGTGAAACAAAATAATTAAGTAATTGTGTTTCCGTTGTATACTGTATTGTAAAATGTGTTTAGCAATTTTTTTTAAAGAATATTTAAATGTGATTATGAAAAGTCATCAGGAATAAACTTATATGTAATTACAAAAATTAGATTAGACTGGTCCATAATTTATTACTTTTATTATACTTAGGCCTAATTTAAGCTTATACATATATATTTACAGTACAGTATTCTTTTGCATGTTAAAATCTCATTACACGTATATATTTTCTATTTTGTAATTGGTGAATTTATTCGCGCGAATCGAAAATTGTTATATGCATGCTCAATTGAGAATCTCGTGATGAAAATTGTGTAGGCGCATGTGTATTAGGCCTAGGCAAAAAAAAAGTTCGATTTGCTAGTGGAAACGGCCTTTACACTGTTAGATGTGAATTTAAAATAAAATAAAAAAACATACCGTATTTATTCGAATAGAGTAAACGCCCCACTTTGAATAAACTCCCCCTCAGAACCTCTTTTGGAATAAAGGCCTCCAAATAGCCTAGATTATGATGAACAACTAAAAAAATGTTTACCTTCCATTTTCGTCCGGTATTATCTCCCCTGCAGAGGATGGAATGGTAGTTGATCCAGCCCAGAAGAAGGCATCTTGAAAAGAATAGAAGATAGCCTAATTACAGTAAGTACAATATATAGGCTCTATTCCTATAAATTTTTATTGAAAATGATTTTAGTAGCTAGTGGTCCCTCTATGAAAGCTGATCACCCAATGTTTTATTAAGCATATTCATGAGGGTACTTAGTAGTGTACAGTAATAATTAATCGCATTCTGATACAATTAGCAGGTCCAGTACACATCAAAGGCTATAGAATTACAGTACCCGCTGATGGGGTCGGATTCAACACTAGCCACTAAGCGAAAGCTCGGTGGTGAAGTAGTTACACCAGGGTAGTTTCTGGAGGTCGTTTGTTCGATTCCCAGCCGAATCACTTGCGATTTTTTTTTCGCAAGTAGTAGGGAACGTACTGAGTACCGTATTTAGCACCATAGTACTCGTCAAGTAAGGCAAAACATCACTCTTATGATATTTTTGCTAAAATTTCGAAATAGATTTAATTATTACTGTATATTATTATTAGAATATTGTTTAAGGCGGTAAAGAATTAAATAGAAAAATTTGAAATTCCAAATTATATGATGAAAATAAAAAGTTTATTGCATCCCCAAACCGAATCGCAAAAAATTATAGGCTGAGAACTCTGCTTTCGAGAATAAGTTCTGCGACAAAAAAAAACGCTTGATGGAAATTCAAGATCATTTAATCGCAACATTTGGTAAAACTTAAGCATTTAAATAACAACCAAACAGCAGGAGAACTACTAATGTGGAGATAAAGTGCTCTCTCCGCGCTCATTTTGAATATTTTCAATGGGATTTTTGATATAAACACGTACAGACCCTATTTTCTGGACATCAATAAAGGCATACTTAATGCCTCTTTAATCACCTTGGAAAGAATTCGTAACAAGATAGGTGCCTTCTTACCGTTAAGCCAAAGCGGTTTTCGGAGTGGAAGAAGAACGGGAGATGTTGACATTACTCATAAATGACTCACCGGAAAAAAAAAAAAAAAAAAAAAAAAAACAAACCCAGAAAGAAAAATATCGAAATTCGAATTACGGGTATCGACATGTCAACCACGTTTGACACGGAAAATAGAAGAAAACTGCTAGAGATATTGAAAGAAATCATAGACGAAAATGAACTCAGGATGGTGAGATTCTTACTATACTTGGTCACACAGGACTAAACATGAAACTCAGGGATGCTAACCATGAACCAGTCATTCTAAACAAACATGGAAACACTTCAAGGGGAGAGTTTGAGTCCTGTACTCTTTACCACATATCTGGAACATGCACTTAGAAGAATCAGATCGACCATATAAACAGATATACCGACGGAAGTTTTGTACGCAGATGACGTAGACTTTCTCGGTTTTCAGTATAACACTATTGACGTAGACACAGTCGAAAAACATCTTCTAACATATAATCTCAATATTAATAAGAGCAAAACTGAATATACAGTAATACAAAGAGGGCATGTCGACCAAGAATCGAAGAGGAAAATTTAAAAAGTGGGATCGCTGCTCGGGGATAACGAAGATATAGACGTCCAAAGCAACTGGCTTCGGTCGCAATGAACGGTTTGGCAGCATTCTGGGAACGTCGCGATAAAATGGACCTTTCCGCTAAGCCCCGCCCCTTGGATATTGTTGCTAAGGTCCCACAAGACGACAGTGTTAAAACATACGCGAACACGTGCGTTTGTGGGACAACACATGTGTTTGTGAGACGCGCGCGTATCCCTAGCGCTGTTCTGATTGGTCAGTTGATAAGTTTGATTGACACTCCGGAAAGGTCTATTAGAGAAAAGGCTTGACTTAGATTGCATGATGCACAATCCATATTGCTTTATAATTCTAGTACACGGGGCTCTGACCAAAGAGCAAACGTTGGACACTTACCATACGCAATTCAGCACAATGACGCTGCAAGTTATGGGTTATTCTCTTGCCGTTACAATGATTTAAATAATTTACTAAAATTTTATGAAGCAACGAAGTACCGGTACACATCTAAACTTTAAACAAAGAAAGATATCGAACTCATCAGAAGAATAATAGAGAACTGGAGTGAGTGGAGAAAATTTATTAAGGATATATACAGAGCAGCCGAGGCGGACCGAGATGTCAAATGACTTCGACGCGGAAAGGTCATAAGTAAGATTATAATTAGGCTATGGTAAAATCCGGAAAGTTCATCATTTAATTGGTCATTTAAAATAATTAGTCGTACTTCAAATTAGATAAAAACGGATTCACAGAATCAAACACTTTTGATTGAGAATGAGGGGACATCAGCTAATTTAAGCATGGAGAAAATATAATATATTTTATCAATTATTGCAAATAAATCATGCCTACCTGGTCCTGCTCCGTCGTAGTTGAAGCCTCTAATCCATAGGCTTGTGCTGTTAATTGCATACACGGTTCCAGTCACTTGGTGGGCAAGAGTGGAAAATACTCCTATCTGACTGCCGAAGTAGTTTGCAAATTCTTGTGCTTGGGTAACTAGAGAGGAATAATAAACTCTAACTTAAGTCAATGAATATGTTTTATACTGTGATTTTAGCATATTGATATGCAAAGATTACGGATTATTAATTAACATCGTAACACTAACAGAAAGACATTCTACAGTAGTGGAACTTTTGGTTTACTTTAAATTCATATCAAATCAATCATACTGTTTTGTGTTATAATTATTATGCGCATGCTTTGCTAAGTCAGTGTCTACTATTGCACGAATGGCGATGTCTACAGTCTGTACTCGTATCCAGAATATGAACATTCATTTTTTTGTTTTTATTTAGCATATTCATGCCGGTTGCGATAATAGGTCTCAGTTGCAGCCGATTCTACCCAAGTGATCAGTTTTGGTGACAAATATAATGCCGATACACTTCTATACTGCTGACAACACCAGTCTTCAATCATCTGATCAGAATCCCCTAATCAGGTTTGGTGACGGCATCATGAATTTCAGATTTATTAGGTATTTCGGGTTGACGGACAGCCGAACCCGAACTGACCTTACACAAACCGTTTTTGCCACTCCTTTCTACCCAAATTAAAATGGTAATGGTTGGGAACTTGTTATACATGGTCTCTATGCGTTGAGGTGTCATTAACTGGGCACTCACTCTCACTGCGTCGTACAACGATCGTACGACGAACCCAACTCCGCTCCATTGTGAGCCATGAGATGCCGTCTGTTGATTTTTGGTGTCAGTCTGAACGGATCGTCATTACAAACGAACCGTTGTGCGCGCGTCCGTGGCGTTGCGTTTTCCAGAATCGCGTCAGCCGAAGACGATTGGGCGCAGTGAGTGCCCACTGCCCGGCTGCCTTAAAACGAAAATCAAAAACAGCAAAATCCTAGGACTTTATAGTAAATCTTCTAAAAGAAGACTATTGCAGAAGAACCACACTAATTGAATAAAATGACTTCCTTTTCGGTTGATTGATAAATTTGATAGGTAGGGCCTTAATTACTACTTTACAAATATCTATCAGACCAATGTAAAATTATCTTCATAAGGACTACACTTAAAAAAAGGATAGTAGGCCTATGGCATATAATAGCTCATAAACAGCTCATTCTGGATTCAATCGATTATTTCTGATTTTTTCCTTTAGGTTAGTCCAGTTGTAAAACATGGTTCTTAATAGGCGACCCGCTGGCCAAATTTGGCCCGCGAGGAAATTTAATTTGGCCAGTGAGGGAAAAAATAATGAAAAAACAATTAAAACATAATGAAAGTCCGATGAACACATTTTCAATAAAGTAAAGACTAAAAATATAACCAATGGTTAATGTGCATAGAGTGGTTTGAGAATGAGCAAGATGATTTTATAGGCCATAAATAGATAAATAGCGCCAAAAATCGATCACTGGGTATTTTCTGTGATTCTTTATCCCCACTCAGATCCTACTTCAGGGACTCCAAAATGTGTAGGAGGAGTACGTCCATGGCCATATAACTAGAACGATATACAACCAGGAAATTATTAGGCCTACAATATCAAAAACATTACTAATAGTGAAAGTTCATGGCAATGAAGGTTTTTAATTTCACTTCTGGTAACGCTGTTATAATATTTAATATTCAGTCCTTCGGCTTTTCTATCATGCCAAAAATATATGTATTAGCTTGTTGTTAATTTGAATGAAATGTCAAAAATATACCATTTCTATTGCGCTAACTATTATTCAAGAAGCATTATGCCTAAGTACGGTATACAGTGTGAAGGCCAAATATCTGAAAAGATTTCTATTTTAAATCATAATAGCGTTTTGTCTACAGGAATTTTAGAATGTTTGTCGTTGTATTAAAGCACCATATAACATTACAAAGCATTTTTACTTATCACGGTACCGGCTTGTGCCATACTTCAAACTCACATACAGTATATGGTCGAAACTTGACTTTATATAGTTTATTTTCATATCACTAGGGGGATTTTGATAACCAGACGGATATAAAAACACGGATGAAAAAAAATATACGTTGTTGGGTCATGTTGTTGCAGGGGACCCAGGTTGGAAGAAATTCATTCTGGGACATCTGGTAATGAGCTTCCTTAACATATTTTTTTTTAGCTGTGAATCGGCACTGCCTTCCGTGGAGACAATTGATAATAAAGTAGTACTGTAAAAACATTATTTTCTGAGCTCTTTTCTTGCGAGAGTGCAGGAGGCCGTCCTGGTTTCCGTGAGTTGGGACCGCTACGTTGTAGCACAAATCAAAATCTCCTAGACTATAGGAGCTCCATGAGACAACGGCAGCGGAACATTTTTGAAAGGGGGGGGGGGGGGCATTTCAAATAAGATAGGCCTACCGGTTGTAAATCCAGTATGCAAACGAATCGAGCATCTAGGCTGGGAGCCGAACTACGGATATTTGACGAAGTATGGTGCATTGTATTGTAGGCATCAAGCTAACAGATGGATAGATGGACTGACCGACCGACAATGCTAAGATAGATGCGAATAGTTGATGCAGAAAATTAAGTTGGTGATGTACTGTACTGTATGATTGATTTTTTTTTTTAAATCGAGGGGCGCTTATTCAAACTCGGCGCGTAAGACAATTTTCACGTTAGGAGGGCGCTTATGCAAGAGTGCGCTTATTCAAACGGGGCGTTATTTGCGCGAGTACGGTGTAGTTACACTTCTATCTTCATCGTTAACATAAAACAGAACTAGAGCGTTGCACCATTGATTGTGCCTACCTCCGCCCTGTGCCTAAATACAGAAATTATACAAGGCGGGCGATTCCATTGTTTTTTCATGCTCGACGATATTTTTCAAAGAAAATTTACAAACGCGCGCTTTACAGACGTCAATCATTATGGTAAACAATGGTTGCGCAACTTAAAAAGAAAACTTGTAATGTTCGTTTAAAAATGAAAAAAAAATCATCTATATTGTATTATAATAAATTGGTCGATTTATAAGGCGAAAATAAACAAGGTGTTTAAGTACAATAATAATAATAATAATAATAATAATAATAATAATAATAATAATAATAATCATAATAATAATCATAATCATAACAAGATTGTATAGCGTTTGTTAACAACGTTTGCTGGGAGCAGTCACATCACAACCCCAGTAGAAAAGGTGGAAGCGGCCAATGCCCCCCTGACCTCCGTTGCGTCACTAAAAATAATTGTTTCTTTACTTCCTTGTTGAATACTGTAGGCCTTTTCCACGAATGTTATTTAAAAAATCTTAACTCCATAACGGGGCGTCGTATCCAAAAACAATTTCCAGCAAAATGTTCTTAAAAGACTTGTCTACACCACTATATGATTGAAAAAAAACCCCTCTGAAATCAAGATGGAAAAAGAAAAGCCTATCTAAGTAGTGTATTAAAATAGGTCTATGCATTACGACGCCCCGTTATGGATTTAATATTTTTTAAATAACATGATTTCAGAAAATCAGCCCAAAAGCTTATCTTATCTCTCTGTTGGTTACGCACCGCGCTGATTTGCAATGTTTGTCATCACTTCTACCGATTCGTGGAAAAGGCTTATCATAAATACATACATAATAATAAAATGACTGTAGTTCCTACATGTCGAATAACAGGTTAGGCCTATTAATAAATATTATGAATGTCACTCCAAAAATTGACAAGTCCATTTGGCGAGGTGGTGTGGACAGGATTTGGCGGCCCGGTAGCCTACCGCTAAATCCTTCATCCGCCCAGTACAACCGAACTAACATAAAGTTATGATTAATGATACATTACCCGTAAACAAACCCGCTGATAGTAAAATAGCTTTAAGATAAAATAACATTTTCCTCTTTCGTAGACGCAGGTGGAGAATCGATTAATAGCGACTTGGTTTACGGTATGAACAATTTCTGTACTCTCATTAATACTACTGTATTAAATTACCGAGACGAATCCTGTTATATAGAATCTCTATCCAATGAACTGAAGCGTAAAAGCAACGATTGGCTGAGTCGTCCACTAGAAATGCTTGTTAAGAATAAAGCGCAACCATGAGAAAAGCTTTGTATTTTGTTGACCGAGTTAGTACGCGGATTACCATTCATTGTTCAACTGTGTGGTAAATACCTACTTTAATACCTTTAGGAAATGAGAACATTGTAAACAAACTATCAACAACCATACTGTGATGTCAGCAGAATTAAATTAAATATTTCTGTCTTTATGTCATTTCAAACCTACTAACATTATCAGGGGCGTACGGTGAAAAATCTAAGGGGGGGGGGTTCGAAACGAAAGCGCAGGGGGAAAGCTGAACTCGGAGAAATTTAGCGAAGCTTTCAGAATTCGCGGGGTGCGTTATTTGTGAGTGAAGCGAGCAACTAGGCTGGGGCTAGGCGCAGTTTAATTATGCTAGATTTTTTAAAAAATCATATTTAATTAAAGGGCACTTTCTTTAAAAAAAGGGGGGGGGGGGTCCGACCAATTTTTGAACGAAACAATGGCTCCTAAGGCTTCTATTTCCTATAGTGTACGAAATTAAAATTCTAGACTAGGCCTGTATTAAAATAATATAGGTCTTTGAACACTGTATTCCGGATCCCAGATGACACCTGAGAGCCGCAATACATGCATCGATCCACTTGAGAGCAGGTTTTGTCAGCTGGCTGGGCCTATGGAGTATTCGACTGGTCGTTCGTCTTTACCATGTCCCTGGTTAAACCAGTCACTATAACAACTCTCTGGTTAAACCACGCTTGCC